AAACGCTTGGAAATAGTAGCGCATAAATAGCGCATAAATCCTGTGTATTTAATTTTTCAAATCAATTATTTTTAATGGGTGGGGGGGCTGACTGACTGCCTACTCAGCCCCCCCACAAAAAATTTTTTTTTTTAGCTAAACGGAAGGAGCGCAAAAATTTTTGTTTGCGGATATGAATAGCGCATAAATAGCGCATTATTCCATAATTTTTTCATTAAGATTTGGTTAGGTGGGGGGGCCAGCTAGGCAGACGTGATTTTAGTACTGAACAGCTTATATGCAGAAGTTATGTGAATGTATATACATTCATTTGCATATATTTTAAAATATATGTATTTCTTTTTTGTTAATTTTGTAACCAAATACTGTTTTTTAAACAAAACTAATATTTTAAGGCTATTTTTATGGAAGGTCATATTACCGTCCATTTTTTTCTTAGAGTCATTGCGCAATGTCGCCACATTTTTATTAATAGTATCCTAAGTAATAAATATTTCGTAACTTTGAGTCCAGAATCGATTCAATAACATTTTAATGAATGTAATTGTTAAATTTTAAACTTAAATATTGATTATTAACAAAGTTATTGTGTAAAATGTAACTGGAGTGCCATAATACCACCTTCTCCTCTACATTATGTAACTTTAATCCGTTATTATCTTAGAATAATGAATTAATACGTTATGTTAATTTTAGATTTGCAAAATATTTTTCTAATATTTTTCTAATAATACATCTCGTAAATTTCCTTCCTTTTTTAGTATGATCCTTGGAAAATGACCCAAAGACAGTTTTAACTCTATATAAACGTAAAAAGCTTTTTCATGACAAATCATTAAATACTGATATTGACAAATGATATATTGTTATACGGAATACAATAATTAATTAATTTTATAGTATAGAAATATCGTATTTAAGAAGAGACAAAAGTATTTTCTTATTTATTATTTTTATAGTAAAACTATTTTCATCTTTCATAAGTAGATACCCCAATAAAAACTAAACATTTATTTGTAAAAAGAATATCTAATTCTGATCAAAAGTTGTAATTTTGATCATTCCGACTATTTTTTTCACAATATTAATAATTAATTTAGATTCAAATTTGAATTTAGATTTGATTTAGCAAAATTACATAGTGTGTGAAAATGACTATTCTACTTCATTTACAAGAAATAATAAAAATGCGAATAGGAAAATAATGAAGAAGAAATTAAGTTTAAGTTAAGTTTTTTTACTTAAACGGAGAAATAAAAAAAAGTTTAAAATTTTTTTAATTAGTCTCAGTATTTTTCAAAATCGGCAGATGGCAACAAAATCTATCTAAATTTTAGTATCTTACAAGTTACATTTACAAAGGAAACATAGTGAAGTATTCTCCTTTGATTTTGATGAACTTTTAATATTTTGTAGTTTAAACTAAAATAAGGATCACGCATTTTTTATATATGGTTTAATCAATTATTCAACAATTTTTATGGCAACTATAGAAATTGCATTGAAAATTGTGATGCCAATTCTGTTTGACGTAAAAAGCACTTTAAAGAAAGAACTATTTTCATTGATTTATAACTATATTTCATAGAATATGAATAAGGATACTTAAAAATCTTGAAATTTAAAATTGCGTTATTTTCGTTAAGTAAATTTTTTAACAAATTAAATTATTACCAATACAGTTTGTTAATAAAAAATTTTTCGATATTCCTTACGATAAGATAAAGATTTGCACAAAACTGAAATTATATATATATATATATATTTAGATATTTTTTGTAATTTTTAAAGTAAAAGTATTATAAATAAAAACACGATTTAATCTAGATCAATGATTTTTGATAATTTATAATGCTAACCATGTAATTGCATTTGTTATTATTAACTAATTTATGTTACTATGTTACAATTATTTTATCAGTTAAAATTTAATTATGACTATCTGATTTGATTTTGCATAAATGTATATTAATTGAACATGAACACATTTTTTTAGATACTGGCTGTACTTCCGAATGGCAATTATTATTTTTCCGATATTAATTCTTTTTTAATTTTCTAAAATATTGTTACTAACCACACCACATGAATATTCTAGTTATTATAAACATCTGTACTATTCATATATTTTTCTTTAAATATCTTGTTACGAAATTAGAGGACTAACAAACATTATGAATTCCTTTTTCAGCCAACCATTTTTGGGACAGTAGCCTCGGACCTGAACCCTAAAGATGGGAACAGCCGAAAGGTGAGTGTTATTTCCAAATATTTTTCTTTATTATTTTATCGGTTGTATAATAACTATTATTCTAAGAGGAAACAATTTAAATGACGGTAACGCGGAATTATTTCTATATCAGACAACGTTTAAAAAAATCCCAATAAAAGAGATTTTCATCTTTTCACGCTGTATCATCTCGGGGATCTTTTTGGCAGTCGTAATGAGTAAAAATTGCTGCTAAGTCTCCGGCTCTGCTCTGCTAATCGTTCCGAATAGAGCGGCTGGCTGCTCTAATTAAAAGTAACAGCGCTACAAAGTGGTCTACCTTATCCAGTGGTTCTCTCTCCACGGAGTTCTAACAATTAAACCTAGCAAACTTTCCTTTTTTTTAGTCGCTTACGCGGCATTTCTCGTGATCGAGGATTGATCATGCATAATAAGCGCTTGCATAACTATAATATGCCTCTATTAAAATATGCAAGTTAAACGTTTAAAAATTCATTGTCATAATAATAATTATGCAATAATAGTATTCTAGAATTATTGCTACCTCTTTTATCTACAAATTTATTAACAAATTTCAAATTGATATTTTAATTAATTTTAATATAACAAAATTTGAATGTTCGTTATCGTTTAAAAATGGATTATTTATTTGATGGAACAATTGGAGTATTTTATGAAAGAATAAAGTTTTTGAAGAAGAGAGAGAGACTAAATATCTCTGTTGCATTTCTATATATAATATCACTTATAATAACGAACGTTCTGCATGTCGGATCTAATATACCTATTACGTTATAGTGGGCGTAATAAATATTCATAGAGATGATAATAAATGAGTAATAATTTGTGTATATGTACAATATATTGTTACAATTCGCATGGTAATTATGTAAGTCCACTTTGGACAGTAATATTATGAGATACAGTGAGATACTATTAATCCTCGGATATTACACCGGTTATACGTAATACTATGTTATTTATTAGGTTGATTAGTTTTGTTTCACCAAATGTTAATTTTATTAACTTTGTTTTCTCTGATTGTTTGATTTTTCATTCGAAATATCTGTTGTTAATATCATATATGTATATAACTTTAATAGCACATAAATTTTATCATAAAAATCTTTTCAAAGCGTATATGCTATGTTCCTTTCTGTGTAAAAATGTTTGTAATCAAAAGCGAAAAGGTATGTGTAACGGTCTACAATAGCAATTTTCAATTATTTAATCACGATTCCTAAAAATGACAAAAATAAAATTGCACTACTTATATCGAAGTATTAATTAAGACATTAAGACTGCCTTCTAATTTCTATTCATATGTTAAAAATTATTATTCATCGCTTCATTGTGAAGCACATATTAATCGCACCATTAAACATATCCTAGTTCGACATGACATATTTCTTTGAAACAAGCTATGAACATTTCGTGAGTTCCATTGGACGGAAATCATCCGAGATATTCAATTACAGCATTAAAGGCGATAGATATCTCGGGGAATTTAGAGATCGCGCGATGTATTATAAAAAGTAGATTCGTAAAAAAATGGTAGCGCGCAAATTCTTTCACTGTGCGCATCTTGCTACTAATGTAGCAAATCGTTTTGGATTTACATTTTCACGTACTGTGATTACGTCCGCGACACAGTGATACACCATTGCGATATGTTCGACGTGATGGAAGAGCAAGCACGTCAGTGGTCATGCGAGCGCACGCGGCACACCACGATTAATACGAAACTGGCAACTAATTTCGAATTTAGTTAACGCAGCCGAGCCGTATCACGTAGTGCGGAAAAATTTTTAGTGGAAAAAAAGAAACGTGCGGTTTACGCATGATACGTTTGAAAATGTAATGCTGCTGTATTTTTGCTCGTTATTTAATTGTGCGTCCCTCGTGTTACCGCGTGTGAACTCAATTTATTAGCGTACAGGGAATACTTTGGACTGCGTTGCGCGTCACGGACGGGTAATTAATCGCAGCCTCTGTTAATGTACCTGTATTAATGTGCATGCCAATTAAATTCAGTGGTAGTCACACGCACACGCACACACGCACGCACGCACGCACGCACGCACGCACGCACGCACGCACGCACGCACACACACACATTATCTCACTCTACTCTCACCCGATTAATCGTTCAATCTAATTGTATAGGATATGCCATTGTTGGATCATTTCAAGTCACTAGCACTTTATTCTCATGTGATTGCAATTTTCTCTTTTGCGACCCATGCAATGAATTTTCGTCGTCGACGATTCATCGTGCGCTGTTCAAAGCGCTTTTCACTCGCGGTTGCACTACGGTCTCATGTCGCGAAAATCGCGTCAGTCGCGAGGGATTCTTTTATCCTTGCAAGTATAGGCATGAACGAGATTGCGTGATGTTAGATGAAAATAAGACCGAGGAGAGTGGAACGAGAGAAGAACGGCGAGAAGGATGAAAAGAAGAATGAAACGCATGTCGAGTAAAGCAAGGAATTGAATGAAAGATTTCTGTCATGTTTACTGGCGGTAAATATTGCTGATGGCAGAAAAGGAGTACCAGCGCTTGTTTGGTCATGAATATAAATGTCTTTCTTACTTCGATATCAGATTCACGTACGATAGAGAAGCAGAAAATATATATACTCAAGTTTTGTAATTGTAATGATGTTTGAACGATTAGTTTCGCCTTCTCAGATGAAATATTAATTCTTTTTTAAACTTCTGGTAAAGTGTTACATCTTGATAGTAAACATCGCTAATATTAAATATTTTCAGTTTGGTAAATATCTGAATTTTACGTATTTACAACTAAAAAAGACATACACATCTAATAACATATGAGAAAGATGAAAAAGAAATGCGAGAGTCGCAAAAATTGAATAAAATATTAATGAAGGTTGTAGCTTTCAAAATTTTGCCAATATATATCGCTAATTAGGAATGTACTCTCTTCATTCCCTTTATACTTGTACTTTATACTGTCTATATGTTTTTCGTGATTTTTTACATTAATTTAACGAATTCGTCGAACTCTTTGACGAGAATAAACTCCCACAAAGTCAATTAGTCTTGTTTGACTGTAGGTAGTTATTAGTACTTTCAGCAGCACTTTGATATCCATGTAATTACGCAGTATGGGCTTATATAAACGGAGCAATTTAGAACTTTAGAATGTTAGAAAGTCTTTTTTAGTAAGTGCTATAAAGCATAGATGATTTAAAGCAAGAATATCTTTGTCAATTTAGTTATTCTACTATATTATATTAAATTTATGAAACAAATTGTTGCTTTACAATTACTTTTCATATTTTGTAATTATAGATATTAAAAATGCAATTTATTAAACTTATTACGTAAATCTTTAAGTTAACAATATACAAAGTATTAAGAAATTGCATCATTTATTATGTATTATTATTCCATTATATTGATATTCATGATATTAATAAATATCGTGACAATTATTGATACAATTGAATTTTTTGCGGTAGCACATTTCTCGTATATTTAAATACTTAAATGATTCAGGATGAGTCCATCAAATTTGTATTATTTTAACGCCCGACACACAATCATAAATTAAGGGAAAGTATAGAGCTGGACAATGCTAGAAAGTGCAAGGCATTCTACACGAAGATTCCGATCGTGTAAATGGATTATAAAAGACGCTATTGTTTGCCGGGACTCGTCCATTCCTGCAACCACGTGACTGGCCAAATTATCTTTATCTCTTCCGTCTGATAACGACTTGGTATGCTCTGGAATTAGAATGGTAAACGTTGGGAATGATAAAGTGAGCCTTTAACGCCATTAACGAAAAATACCCCGTGGCATAGCAGCGGCTTACATCGTCGAATGGCATACGCGAACGACAACAATAGTACGATCCCATAACGTTAAGAACCTTTATGATCCTAAGCGTAGAAATCGGATAAGCTGACATAAAGTAACGAGTTTTCTAAAGATCTCCTATGAATGAAATGCTTCTATGTATGTCCGCTTACCAACCGACTAAAAAGGATAAAGTGACAGAAATGTTGAAAATAACATTGTATTAGAATGCAGTGGTTAGTAATGATGATCATGTGATTAGTAAATACTATAATAATTAACGATTACTATTAGATAAAATTAAAATGTCTATATAAAATAGCATACCTATCAATATATTATTAAATACAAAATAGCATAAAATAGAAATATCAAAATAAAAAATAGGGACCAAGAACTTTTCTTCATGCATATTGTATATTTCATGCTTTTATCACATAATAAACGGATGAATGAAAGATCGATGCATCGATATGTTCTTGGTGTTATCACGCGCGGACAATGGCCAGATTGGGTGAAAAAATATGCAGCTTGCTGGAATAGTCGTGTGCCTGTAAATTTTCGCGCTAGCGATATAAATTCGCGGGATGTCGAAAGCGGCGCAGTCTCGTTGGCTTTTGTGTGCCTCATCGATTTTTATTTAATCTTGACTACCGTGAAAGAGATTGCACAAAAATTTGTCATCATATTCTGATTTTTACATGCATACATATATATTCTAGAAGATATTTTTTTAACCGAATCGAGAGGAATTGTATATATTTTTAAAAATAAATAATATTGTAAACACACACACACACACACACACACACACACATGCATTTTTTGTGCATTTATTTAAAGAAAATCATTCATGTGTGTCTTATCTTCGGACATATTTGAGATATACGTTGCTCATTAAGATGTTGAATTACCTTGCCTTTTAACGGCAGTAACGTACAGCCCTCGCAATCTATTGTGGTTGACCCAGCATCATGAGTGTTGGAAAATAACACGAATATTTGAACGAACGACCGCGATCAGTTTTTGACTAGCTATCGGACAGTACAATCGATATTTCACTTAATGCACTCATACCATCGGATCAGCGCCAAATTCTTGTTTTGGATTCATTTCACGCTTGCGTGCGAATGAGGAACCGGAAGGTCGTTCGAACTTAATCGCACAAACATACGCCGGATAATTCAACCTCT